AGCGAGGCCATTGATTCGAATCGGCACCTCTGGCGCAGTGTGCTACAGCGCCTTATCGCGGAGAAGCCGTCCAAGCCAAACAAGGTGGTTCCTTGGACGCCCAACACCCCCATTTAGGGTTTAGGCTTTAGGGTTTAGGGTTTGGGGGAGCACCCAGAGATGAACCCTAGACGGTCTTATGGTTCATATGCCATGTAGTGATCTATGATATAAGGCATAAGGCTAGAAGCTTCATGCTTTCGAGACCTAGCCCTCTATCTTCATGTGAAGAGAAAGCTGCAGCTTGATAGCCCAATCACAGCAGGATGGGCTTGAGCAGTGTAACTTTCTTGAATCTTGTGTGTTGCGTTGGTGAAGCCTGCAAGGCCGTACCTCTCCTGTGTCGTAGTCTTGCGCAGTTCAAACGCAGGCATGTTTTGCTTATTTATCTGACCATTCAGGGCCGTTCAGCCTTCCATTGTTGACCCCTTTTCCGTTTCGCCTATGAACTCTGACCACGAATCCAGCCCTGAGCCTCCCACCGCGGCATCCCGAAGTGCAAAACCGAGGCAGCGCACGGTAGATCGCATGAGATGTTCTATTCCTTAGGGGTTCCGAACGTATTCATAGCGAAGGCACTCCCAAAACCGCAGTGGGGCGTTTCAGGCACCCCGCCAGTAAGACCCCTGAAGAAAAGGACCACAGGCAAGACCCCTCCACAGAGCCGACAACTGTTTGAGAACCTACCCACAAGGGCCTCCAAAATCAGAATTTGATGTTTCATGGTTGTATAGCAGACACATACTGGCCATAAGCGGATGCTGTTACTAATTTTTCCGGCCCCTGCTAAGTTGCCAAACCCTGTAACATGCTTCATAAGCGGTGTTTGGCGCTTAACGCAAGTCCAAAGAAGGAAGATTATAGGTGATCCTAAGCGTGAAACTCTCAGCATGTAAGCTCTGAGCCCTAAGGCCTACAATCCCCATTGAAGTGAGCCTCCCGCCCCAGACCCTCCGCCAACATGGTGTTCCTACTAACCTTCGGAGCAGTCGGAAAAGAGGGGTTAAAAAAAAAAAGGCCTACAAAACGAGCGCATTCTCTTCTTCTGCTCATTTTTCCCAAACCCCTAAACCCTAAACTTACAGAACCTAAGCCTTAATCCCAAAACCTTAGAGAACCCATGCCTTAATCCCTGAAGCTGAAAAACCCAAGGCTTAACTCCGAAACTTTAGGGAACCTAAGACCCTAGGGAACGTAAGCCTTAAACCTTAAACCTTAGGAAATTGAAAGCTTAAATCCGTGAGGTCCAACTCTTTGAGGCAGCAAGGAATGCCGGCCTTCTGAGTGTGGAGTTTACCACCAATGGCGGCGAGGAGGCGGTTTAGGGTTTAGGGTTTAGGGTGAAGGGTTTAGGATTCAGAGTTTAGGGTGAAGGGTTTAGGATACAACCCTAGCGGAAATCCATCAAAACTCCAGCTAACCTTGGATGTCTGAGAGGACTCAAGCTTCTTCGGGGTTTATGGAATCTGTCTTTGCGGCTTCAGGCGTCAGTGAACACCAGAAAGTTGGAACAAGGGTTTAGGATGATTAGTGCTGGGATCCCCTATACTTTACCTTAAGGCCATGAGGATATAGATGTTCCAAGTTTCTGGCTTCTACTTTAGAGTCTAGGGTGTTTCCGGGTTCAGGGGTGTAGGGCCTCAAACCCTTTGGGAAGCCCAAGCCCTACGCCCCAAACCCTGAACCCTAGACCCCAAGGGGCCTATAACCCCAAAATACTAGGCTTCATATAAGGAACCCTAATAAAGACCCCAGGGTTTCTTAAGCAGCTCCCTGTGTAGGGTTTAGGGTTTAGGGTTTAGGGTTTAGGGTTTAGGGTTTAGGGTTTAGGGTTTAGAGTTTAGGGTTTAGGGTCTAGGGTTAAACCCTAAGCTCTCCCAATCAGGTCGTCCTGCAACTCCAGAGCAAGCGCTAAGCGAGCGCGCAACTCTGAACTCCCTTGGACCCAGCAAGCGGCCGCAAGGGGAAAAATGCAATGCAAGCCTGAGCCATTCAGGTTTGGGGAGGCCATCAGGTTTAGGGTCAGGCTGCTACTACTACTACTACTACTACTACTACTACTACTACTACTACTACTACTACTACTACTACTACTACTACTACTACTACTACTACTCTTCTGCAGTGACGCGGGAACTGCAGTGCGTTATGAGGACTTCGTGATAGGAGCTGTCATCCTACATCTAGGACAGAGGGTCAACGAAGGACACTACCAAGCCTATCTAGGTCATCCGGTGCCTTTAAGACCCGCCCTCCCCTGGATAGAATACCTCTGCGACGACTGTAAGCCCCCGCGTAGAGCCAATGCCCAAGATAGGATGCAAATGCAGACAAACTCCTATCTTGCGGTGCTTATACGCTGTTAGCCCGGATCGCGGAGGGCAGCTTAGGTCCCTGCCCTCAGCACGGCTAGGTCGCCGTGCAACGCGTTACTGACCTGAGTTCCATAGTGGCCTCGGTTGAAGCACCGATGGCCCGCACAGCTGACGTCCCGAAAGCAGCCCGTCAACATGTATCTCTAACTACAGCCAAGTTTCTTAACGTTTCCATGCCTATCGCTTGATGCTGCCACTTGCAAATCCGACGATGACACCAAAGCCCTGCACAGCCTATACACCTGGGTAGCTGCCTAGCTCAAACAAAGCCTATAGGGAGCCACTCTCTAGTTTCCGTGGGCCCAGTGGCCGGCCCCTCAGTGCAAGCCTGCATACTGCACAGTTGCGAAGAGCTCCGTCTGCAAAGTACGACGAAACACACAGCAACCGGCTCCAGTCATAGGGTAGCCGCCGGGCTCAACACTGCTGCATTGGTCGTGGTTTCTTGTAGCTGCAGCTACGGGGATTCCCACCCGACGCATGGCCCAGCAGTTTCAGCTCCCATGGGATGTCTATCAAGACTCCCTAGCCGAGCACCTCTTGCGGGGAGCGTACAGCAGCCTGATGTTACAACATACAGGACAGCCTGCCCTCCCTATAGTGGACATGGCGGCCTTCAATGATATACTGGCGCACGCTGCCACGGAGCTACCGGCAGACAAGCTCCAGCAGCTGCACCAATATGCAGGCCAACTGTGTGATGCTATGCCAGCCCTTCATGGACCCAGACTGCCTCCTGCGATGCCATTGCCTCCCACACCGATACCACCTGCTGAACAGTTTGCGCACGATACGCTGGGCGATGGAGGGCATGAAGGATCTCTCTGGAGCGCAGTCCGCCAGGCAATCCTGCTCCTCAACTTTGAGAAGGCCAGGCATGGGAAACTTAGCGAACAATTCCATGCCAGAAGCTTCACGGTGGGCGCGTTCTCCAAACATGCCTTCGTGGGGATCTGCCGGGGCACACTGAGATACCCGAGCCTGTGTCGGCTCCTGAATCGCCTCGTCATCCATGTGCTACCACATCATTCCTGGACGAGCGTGGTGCTTCACCTCAACTGTCTTTTCCCGCCTCACAAAGACAGTGGCAGCGGGCCCACCCCGAATGCGGTGATAGCCCTCACCTACTTCGAAGGCGGCGACCTGTGGGTTCAAACCGCTGACGGGGATGATTATCAGGAGATTGACGGGACCATGGTGCGCGGATGTCTCTACAAGCTGCAAGACTGCGCCACGGTTTTCTCAGCACACAACCAGCTCCACTGCACCACACAGTGGAGGGGAGGGAACCGCATCACCCTCGTGGCCTACACTGTGAGGAACTACTACTCCCTGGGAGAGCCACTGAGGCAAACGCTGGATCAGTTGGGTTTCTGCCCGCCACCGCGGGAGCAACTACCCAAACCACCAGCGGTGCCATTACTGCCGCCGGTTCTTTACGATGGAGTCTAGAGCAACGGCATGCCTGAGCTCTTACAGGGTTTCCAGGGATCATTTCCAGGGGTCTCTGCCTACCATAACCTTCTCATGCTGCCTGATGCAACTTTTTCCAACCTGCCTGGTAGTGCATACTCCTCACCCTGAGCCTGCAATTTGCGCTTGAGATAGAGCTTGAGTTTGAGCCTGAGACCCTACCATAACCACGCTGCACTCTCCCACTCCATAAGCTTGGTTACTCCTAAATCTGTACAGCCTGGCCTAGGCTATGGCCAAGCCGTGACCCTATGCCAGGAAAAAGGACAGGCCAACAGTGAATTCAGACATGAGTGCTGAGTGGCATCAAAACCTCACCACTTGCCGTGCAGCAAGATGCAGAGCGCTGCCTGCAAGCCGCAACCAGTAACCAGCTATCCACCCCTCTGCGCTTGCACGCTCAGGTCTGGATGGAATCCTGGCTGGGCGTTGGTGGAGGCCGGCTGCGACAATGCAGTCGTCGAGGGTGCGAGCGGCAATACTCCAAGTTGCATAAGCCCTTCTGCTGCTCCGGATGTGGTAGTGGACAAGGGCATCACACACGTCGCTGCGACCGACATCAGCGGCGACACGCACAGGCGGGCCAGCGGATGGCACGGAGCATGCCAACAGAGTGCCTCAACGACGGCTGTACCAGACAAGCTGGCGTAGGGCACTTGACATGCTGCTCCACATGCACTCCCGGCGGATATGTGCATACCCGGCGCTGCAACCTGGTCATGGGCCGCATGATTCCTCCTGGGACTGATGCACCTCAGAGGGATGCCACACAGCAGCAAAACCATGATCAGCCGACTGCAAGTCGGGACCCTGCAATGCGGACCAACAGCTCTGGAACGAACTATTGGCCCGCTACAGTATCCCTCGTGCATGGACAGCAGGTGACCTCAGCTACTGAAACACTGCAGGCTATACCGGCTCCGGGCACTGGCACAATGGCCTCCTCTTCATCCCGCCACATGCGGAGCACGGATATGGAGCCCCAGCAGGTCGATCAGCCGGATGCCGCAGCTACAGATGTCGATGCAAGTAGTGCGCAGCATGATGCTATGAGTCTTATTGTACAGGGCTGTGTTATTGAACTTGACGAGCTTGACTAGGAGGATGCCAGATATGGCAAAGTTGTCCACGGAGCCACAAATGTGGTGCGGCCTAGAGCCGCCGGATCAAAGGTCCGTCCTTCGTCAGACGCCACGGATCGGCCCGACGAGTGCAATGCAATACTACTACTACTACTACTACTATTACTACTAAACCAGGGTACAGGGTTTAGGGTTTGTGCTATGGCATAGAAGACGAAGTAGTTTGTGCCGGTCGAAAAGAGCGGAAAAGAGTTTCGGGTTGAGAGATACCAGGTACCACAAAGCAAGAGCCCAATCATTTTCAAAGTTACTTTTTGACCGACAATAAAGGTCATCATGGCCTTACTTTCTAAGTCCCCTGATTCTCCAAGGTGGGTTGCTTGTGGTTGTGTTGAGACATCTGAGGTCCTCCATCATGAATGTCTTGAGCGGCCGGGCAGGCTACGGACAAATCCAGGCCGTTCCCCAACTTCCGAAAATCCTGTGAAAGCGTCGAAGCCCCGAAAGCACCACGCCCTACACAGATGATCGCTGAATTGAGAAGTTCTTCTCCCAAAACCCTGAACCCTAGGCCCTCATCAAGGCCTGCACCTCTGAACCTGATCCCCTGCACCCCTACTTGGAGGGTCGGGGGACTTAGTAACTGGTTATTTCAGGGACTTCTAAGTACCATAACCCCAATTAGGGTCCCTTTTAAGGGTATTTATAAGTCCACTTACTAACTACTTACTAAGTCCCCTAAAGACCCTCCAAGTAGACCCCTAAACTCCAAAGCCAACGTCCCGAAAGCCTGACTCGGAACACGAAATTTCTCAGAAGCTTTGTCGGTCACGGCTTCTTGCAAGCCCTGAACCACTACGGATTTTTTCCATGAGTCCCAATCTCTTGGGGTATCTGGTGTTTGGGTATGTTTAGGCTTTAGGGTTTTAGGGTTTAGTGTCGGGATCTACAGAGTTACATCGTACAAGGTCTGTAGTTACACTGCAGATCGGGGTATGCCGTACAAGGTTGCTTGGAGGTTCATGGGTTGTTTAGATGGGGGCATAAGTCTCCCAATATGGGTTGTAAAATACATTTACAGTTACCCTACTTATAACTCCACATATAGCTACCCTAAACCCTATAGAACCCTTCAACCCCACTTATAACTAAGCAAGGTTCATAGTTCGAGCGTTTGGAACCTCGGAAGCTTTGTCTCCATGACTTTTGGAAGCCAATCTTTGTTTAGGATTAAGGAGTTAGGGTTTAGGGTTTCCGAGTTGAGGGTTTAGGGTTAAGAGGCCCGAGCCTGATGCCTGAAACTCCCAAGCCGACAGCACAACCCTCCGTCAACCATCCCAGCATTCCTCTGCCGCGATCCAACACAAGAGCAGAAGTATTATAGGGGCCTCAATCATTGCCTATACTATTTTGGGGGTTCCTTATTGTAATTATTGTTCTATGGGCCCCAAAACTCTATTCTAACAATGAAGGCCCCTATATTACCTACCATCCTCAACCCAAAGCCCGAAAACCCCACAGGCCCTCATCCTCAAATCTCAACTCCATGCGCAATTCATGGAGGGCAACATCCAGATCAACGGCACCTGTGGTGAGGGTCGATCCATCGCCGAGCTCCGTTCCGTGACAGGCACCCCCCCACTTCGGATCATGGAGGCTTAACATGAAAAACAGCGCAATCATGCCTATCGCGTTTTTCTACGTGCCAAAAGCCAAAGAAAGACAGCCGGGGTGAGTTGGAATTTGTAGTGAAGCCCCCCTGAAGGAGACCAGCTCAGCAAGTCTGTGCGTAGGTGCTTTTCGGGGGTCGCATTTCCCACAAACCCTAATTCTGTTCAGTATTCCAACTTCGGAGCCCTGAAACTAGACTCTACACCCTAGAACCAAAAAAAAAAAAAGAACCATAAACCTTACAAGCTCTAAGTCCTAAGCACTGCTGCATCGGGACGACTGCAAGCGGAAAGTCACAGCTCCTTCCGCGCCTGATGTGGCAGGGTCTGCGGGCTGAGGCTTTATGTTTGAGGGTTTAGGGTTGAGGGTTTACTGTCAGAGGAGGCCAAAAGGGGTTTAGCCTATGGGGCTTTAGTAGGGATTAGGGTTCCCATCATAGGGTGGAATCCCTACCCCAACACTCTTAAACCCCCCTTTTGGCCTCCCATCATACTGTTTAGGGTTTGGGGTTTGGGGGCTCGCCTTTAGGGGAGTGCGTTGGAGGTTTTGTCCCGCAAGACGACGTGATGCACCGGAATCTGACGGTGGAGGAGATCCTCGGCCTAAACCCGAAACCACAACCCTAAACCCCTAAAACCCTAAACCCCTAAACCTTTAATCTCCTAACCCCTAAACACCTAATGCCCTAAACCCTAAACCCGTAAACCCTACACCGCTAAGCCTTGAACTCTAAGCAAAATCCCCCTACGCCCTGCGTCCGTGGTAGAAAGCAACCCGAGGTTAAGGGACGCCAAAAACCCAAACTTCCGAAAACTCCAGAAGCCTAGAATGGGTTTGGGGTTCACGGTTTAGGATTCAGGGATTGGGATTTAGGGTTTGGGGAGTTTAGGATTCAGGGTTTGGGGTTTAGGGCTTAGGGAGTTTAGGGTTTAGGGGGTTTAGGGGTTTAAGGTACAGCCGTGAACAATCTAAGATTTCAAGGCCCTGCATCCTAGAACCGAAAGCCTTCGAAGCTCGGGGTGTCATACTGGGATGCTTTGTTTTGGACCCGTTCCTTAAAGGAACCATTATGAAAGAAACGTCGATGCTTGTTGCACCTGGTTACTTCAACGTCCACAGAATCCGGCCCTTCATCTTCCAAGGGTCTAGGTGCCCTGATAAGGGGCGACTTCTCGAATTGGGAGCACTTCTTCTCTTGGGGCTCTATATGTCAGGATCTGGTTGGGGTTTAAGGCTTAGGGTTTAGAGGCTCAGGATCAGGCTCTAGGTTCCTCTGTCTGAAAAACTCCCAACTGCCCAGGCCTGCGGGAGGATCCAAAACGTAGATCCCTTAATGGGGGTTCCTATAAAGTACCCTTAGTAGTATAGGGCCTCAAATTAGGGGATCTACTTTCTAGATCCTCCCGGGGGTCTGGGTGATGGGTTTCTGTTGCGTAGATAACCACAGTGGAAGCCATCCTCAACAACGCACGCAAAGTTGAGCAGCCTCTTATGCTACATCCTGAAAAGAGTGGGTTCTTGATGAGCAGTTTATTTCAAGCGGCACCAAGAAGGAAGCCCTTTTGAATTGCTACAGCTGCTTATTATGGTAACTTACCTTGCACTCCTGAACCCGAAGTCAGTAGACCTCGATGTCAAGAGTCTTCGGGGGAGCGCAGGCATCCAAAATCCTGTGCTTGCTGTTTGGGTTTACCGTTTAGGGTTCGCAGGGTGTAGGGTTTAGGGTGCAGGGTTTAGGGTTTACCACTCCCCCCACCAGCAAAGCCTAGACTTGAAATCCCCGTCTAAACCCGAACCTGCTAGGCCCCAAACCCGAATCCGCGGCGGGCCGGAACTACAGCAGAAGCCGGAAGAGTTACCAATACTGTTCCTTGAGATTCTTATTCTATGTATAGTATAACACAGCCCGAATCCCTACTTTCACTGCATGTTCAGGCCACTAGCATCCACCCTGCAAACTCCCCCCACGGCCCCGAGGAATGTGTCATTCCAAGCCCAGCTGCGGCTGCCCCGAGAGGAGGGCACGTGCCTTGATGCGAAGTTCAGGGTTGAATGCTTTAAGGGTTCAGGATTTAGGGTTTAGGGATTTAGGTTTTAGGGGTTTAGGGTTTGGGGGTTTAGGGTTTATGGGTTTAGGGTTTAAGGTTTGAGGCTTCAGAGTTTTCTAGGCCTTGGAGGTGCGTTCTCCAACCGGGAGCTACGTGAACTCCATCATGCCTTTGCCTAATTCATCTAGCCGAGGCGCCCCCCTTGGGTACTTCTGAGCTTTTTGGGTTTGTTCCTTCTTCTTGGCCGATGGTGTCTGTTGTAAGTATCCCTGCAGCTTAAGGCTTAGCCCTAAACCCCTAAACCCAAAACCCTCAAACCCTGAACCATAGCCTCCCTTTCAAAAAGCGCAAAGAGCCAAACTAACATTGACGGCCGCCCTTCATCCGAGAACTTCCCTGGTGGCCCGGGCCAAACAGTGCGAGGCGCCACTGGAGTTGGGGCTTTGGGTTTAGGGTTGAGGGTTTAGGAGCAAAATATAGGATCCTCACGACTTACGTATACCAATTTGCGGGTTCCTTGTTATGGTCATAGTAGAATCTACCGCAAACCTCTATCCTTATTTAGGCCCCTATATCGGGGTTCAGCGTTTGTGGTTTGCTATTTCGGCTTGGCTGAGGGGTTAGGATTCAGATTCTGGTATTTGCTAGGATTCAGGATTTGGGGTTCAGGAGTAGGGGATGATGACCCCTGTGTTTACGAGGGATGAAGAGAGGCTGCATCGCTCCAGATACCGTCTAGGATCTGCCTGGTCTTGGGCTTAGGATGGCGATTTGCATGTGGGCAGTATTGCGGGTCGAGTACTTCTCTTGTTTCACGGAGCAGGAATTAAGGTCACGGCCTAAACCCCCAAAGCCGAAATGCAATTCAACTGCCAAGAGCAGGTAGAGCCCCAAAAACTCAACCCTAAACCGAAGCCCACCTAAACCCTAAACCTTAAGCCCAAAACCGTAAACCTTAAACCCTCAACTCAAACCCTGGACTCTAAACCCTAGGGTGATCATGCGCTTCGTTGATTTATCGAGTTCCTATTCCTATGCCCAAGTTCTGTTCACCTCGTCCCAAAGTCCCCCCCTTCTGCTCAAGCTTTTCAACCATACCCCGAGCACTGAAACCGGAGAAATCCTGCGAACTCTTGCCTCGATCGCCTCAACCTGAACAAAGCCCTGAGTAGAGCATCTCAGAGTGACTGCCGAAGTCTCACTGACTCGACGGCTCGAACGGTGGAGAGGCCCTGAACCGAAAACCTACACCTGAAATCTCTAACCCTAAATCTTCCTCTAAGCCTAAGCCATAAGACCTTAGACCTTAAACCTTCAACCCTGAACCCTACACATTAAACCCTAAACCCTGAACCTCGAGCCTTCAACCTTAACAGTAAACCTTGAGGCCTAAACCTCTAGCTTTAGACCAGGCAGCTACGACAGACATCCTGGAGTGCCCTGGATGCGCAAAATCTCAAGGTTTGGAGTTCAGCGGTTTCGGGTTCTGGGGTTTTTGGGCTTAGGGTTTCCGGGTTTAGGGTTTCCGGGTTCAGCGTCTTGGATAGAGGGTTGGAGGTTTAGCGTTTGGGGTTGAAGTGGTCTGGGGTGTAGGGCTGGAGGCAGGCTTGTCAAGCTACAGTCCCTGCAACAACGGGTCTCCGTGCTTTACCCTTACACCCTCTGTAAACCCTCAATCCTAAGCCTTGAGACCTGTTGTCACGTGACTTTGATCTTTTGAGTCTCGAGGCCGTTCAATATCAAACAGCTGCATGTAATTGGAGGAAGATTTCGGGCTTCAGGCCCGTTGTTGACGGTGGCGGTTTAGAGTTCCGTTTGGGGCGTGGGGGCATGAGTCGAGTTGGGTAGAATTACCATTAACCGTTAACCTACTTGGAGGATCATAGGTAGTTATAAGTAGGGTTATGAGTCCCCCAATATGGGTTGTAATTATAGTCACCCTACTTATTACTCGACTTATCACTGCCCATGAACCTCCAAGTGAAGTGGGTTGCGCTTATGTAGAAATTCCCATTAACCTAGAACCCGAGACGATTTCTAGTGTTGTGGAGATACATAGCCTGCTCGGGTTTTGGCTCAGGCAGGTGTCATCCCCAGACTCCACATGATAAATGGACGATAGTACCGGCAGGAATAGTCACAGAAGCTTGTAGAACCTGAACCCAAAACCGTAACATACAAGCCCCCACAAGTAGCTTTGATAACTATTCAGGCTTAACCGTAGATCTTACGAGCAGCTGAATGACTAGCCCCGAAACCTTAGTCTAAAACTGCATCCATGACTCGGAAAATCTATGCCGGGACCACTCTGCACCCCCGCGACCCGTCACCCCAAGGAACCCCCAGCCTTTGAAGCCTAAGACTCTAACACAGGCAGCTGGGATTGGGAGATTCCCAGTTGCGGAAGACTGCGATAGGCGACGAGCAGGCGAGTTTAGAGTTTAGGATTCAAGGGTTTTTGGGCCTAGGGGCTTAAGGGATTAAAAGCTTAGGGTCGATTTTTGTAGGCCTAGTGCAGCATGCCCTGCCACGTGACAATCTACGCGTGCTAAAGTAGGGAGCTGAGTATATGTGGCTCATGCCGGTCTCCATACAAGTGACCAGACTGCGCAATGTTTAGTTGTAAGCTTCCCTGAATTTTAAGTGGCCTGTGTCAACAACATCTACCCCGCTCGACACTACTCTGACACACGCCCGTGGCTAGTTGCAAGTGGCCGTCTTGAGACATGGACACCGGGTTTAGTCCACTCTCGCCTTGAAACGCCACACCCTGCACTTCATCCGTGCCACCTTCCAAGGCTTCGTCCTCATGCCCTCAACGTCCGTCAATCCGAGGCCGAAGCACTGCACCTAGAATCCTGACAGGCCTGAAACCGAAAGCTGTACACCGCAAGCCTGAAACCCCAAGCCCCCGATTCCTGAACCCGAGCTCCTTGATCCCCTAAGCCCCCCAGAAGCCCTTCCGCAGTCCCTGCAAGGTGAAGGGCGTGTCTGGTGGGCAGCGGAAGCGCGTTTCCATTGCTATGGAGTTCGTCGCGAGGTCTGCGCGGCTTTTGCGGCCTTCAGCTCCTAGAGTTCAGGGTTTCGGGTTTCGAGAGATCTAGTGTTTAGTGTTCAGAGGGTTACTGTAAGGGGGTTCAGGTTTCAGCGTTTCGGGTGTTCAGGGCTCAGGGTACGGTTTCTGGGCCCGGAGGCCAGCAGGCCCAACACACCCAGCGGAACTCCATTCATGTCGAATCCCGAAAGCTTTCGGCTCTACTTCTTGCTGCCCCATGTCCCAAGCTTGAAAACTCCGAGTATGCAAAACAAAAGCAGCCCAAACAGTCAGTAAGAATACTTGGAGGTTCATGGGTAGTTATGAATGGAGTTATAAGTAGGGTAACTTTCATAATATCCCATATCAGGGCACTTCTAACCCCACTTGTAACTACCCATGAACCTCCAAGTATGGCCTTAACTCCATCCTCCGTAGTTGATCATGCTTCTTCTGCCAGGAGATGGGTCTAGGGTTTCGGGTCTAGGGCTTAGGGTTTAGGGTCTGGCCCAGCAAAAACCCAAAGTTTGAACTGCCTTAAACCCCGGACGCTCAACCCTAAATCCCACCCCAAAAGCCTTGAACAAGCTACGCCCTACCTTAACCTACTTGGAGGGTCGGGGGAGTTAGTAACTGGTTATTTTAGGGACTTAGAAGTACCATAACCCCAATTAGGGTCCCTTTTAGGGTATTTATAAGTCTACTTCCTAACTACTTACTAAGTCCCCCGACTCTCCAAGTACCAGAACCCAACTCTCTCTTGGCGCCTTGGGGGTGGTGGGAGGCCCTCGTTGCTTTTTCTCGATGAGCCGACAAGCGGATTGGTAACCCGGAAGAACTTGGGGGCGGTCTGAGGGCTTGGGGTGCCATAAGGGTCCTACTGTTGATGATATAAATCCTGCATTACCTTAAGAACCCTAAACTATGGGAATTATGGTATATTCCTTATTATGGGTAGTGCAGGATTAATATCATCAACCGGAGAAGGGTCTGGAAAAGGTCTTGGAGGGGCACCGCACTACACGAGGCTACGATAAGAGTACTATGCTCGTACCAATAACGGTATGAAGAGGGCACCACAAGGATTCTTCCGGGTCTGGGTGTTTAGGGGTTTGGGGATTTTGGGGGATTTCGGGTTTGGGCTGGAGGAGCCCTAGGGCCTTGAGCTCTTGAATCTTGAGACGTTGGGGATTGAAGCTTTAAGGTTTCAGGTTCAGGGTTTAGGCTCTAGCTTGACTTTATATAGCTTACGTTTCGAAGGAGTTGTGTAAGGATATTATATTAAGGAGCCCTAAGAAGGTAGGTTTTATGGGTCCAAGCAGAGCGGGTTTGGCAGATTTAAACAGGTGAGGGGTGTAGGGAACGTTAGAACCCCTTCAGACCAATCATCATTTCCATGGGAACTTGTCGTCGAACCCTCGAACTATATTCCGGCTGCGTTGATCTTGCCATTGGGTTTTCTGTCCCTACGGCTTGGGTTGTAGGATTTAGGGTTGAGGGCTTGGGGTTCAGGGTTTAGGCTTGACGGGTTCCGCAGCTTAGCAGATTAGGCTAGCGGCTAGGGTTTATATGGCCTTAGCTTCAGGATTCCACCACCTCCCACTCCGTGGTGGACGTCGTGACGCAGGCTGCTAAGAAGCAGCGGTGCACCACCATTGCGCCTTGCCTCCGAGGAATCTACTTGACTAAAGGTGCATTTATTGTTAGCGCCAATCAATGCACTTCGTAACCTAAGTAAGGTTGGTCAGGGGATCCTTATGAGCAATAGCTGCGCAAGTTTTCAGGAACATTCTGCAGGTGACGGGTTTGGAGTCGTGGCAAGATCCTAAATTCTGGTACAACAGGCCACAAGGGCCTGAGTCATATTCAAGTCATACTCTGGCAGAATAACTCCCGTGCTCAGGAAAAGGAGAACCACATGGGAGTTTCTTGCAATTCGGGTTCCCTTGCCTATTGCGGGGATGCTATCTCAGAGTCTCAGGTCTCTTTGAGGTCAAAGCCATGTTAGGCTTTCGTGTGATTCCCCTACATCTACACCTAAACCCCAACCCCTATATAAACCCTAAACCCAAAAAGATCTTGAATTCCTTTGTCCAGAAGATCGAGGCCGTCATCCATCAGCCTCGCTATGAGACGCTTCGGCTCTTCGACAACGTGATCCTTCTTGCAGCCGGAGGTGCTCTATGGTCTGATATCCATTTAGGGTTTAGGGTTTCGGTACATAGATCTTGTTGTATGTCGTAGAGGGGTTGCGGCAGATGTGACATTTTTGCAGGCCTCATGGGATGCTCATTGTTTTTGCGACGATGCACGAACCCGTGGAAGAGTGTAGGGTCTAGGGTTGTGAACATGAGTTCAGGGCGCGTTAAGCGACCCACGACCGAACCCCCCCACCAGCTGTAAAGCCTGCAACCGCCCTTTTCGCTTCTGACTCTAGAAACCACAGCAATACACCCCAAACCCTAAACCCAAACCATACACCCCACACCCAAAACTCCAAGCCCATAACCCCGGGAAGCCGAAGCTCCGGCCGCCTTCATGCAGGCTACTTGGTGTATTCTGGACCCACAGCCGATGTTGAGAGCTATTTCTCGGATGTTCTTGGGGTGCGTTTCCCGCCCAAAGTGTCCCAACTGCAAGAAGTATACTACAGGGGTCATGATGATGAGCATTTGGGAGTTGCGGGGCTTCGTAATTCTTGTACTAGGGGCTACAATGGGGATATTCCTGATAGTTCAGAGTTGTACATAGAGGCTCCGGTCAGGGCCGTGCGACCGTTTTATATGGGTGGTTGGCAGCATAATGGTCCCTTTTTGGGTCCGCATTATAATACGGCACCTGTTGTTTAGGGTAACCAAAAAGGGGCCATACTAAATTTGACAACTACTCATATGGAGATCAGACTTAGAGGCCCAAGCAGAGGCCTCGGGCAAGAACCATGTGGGAGTTTCCGAAACTAGGAAATACCTTATTTTGGGGTCCTTATAATAAGGATCCTATGATTTAGGGTGCTATATTAGGGTCCCCTATTTTCGGACGGTTTGAGTCCATAAGAAATATTGACAGTCGCTCAGGTTGTGAAGTTCCACTGAAAGGCTGGAGGACGAACCTGTTCTCTTTGAGCTCAAGACCACGCCTTTCACGGGAACAGAGTTGTCCTCGGCGCCGAAACCTGAAAACCCAAACCCTACAATATAGACGCCTAAATAACTACCAGTATTCTTGTTAGGGGGATCCTTATGACAATTATAGTATATTGGCCCCAAAACCCTATTCTAATCATTAAGGCCCCTATAGTCAGACTTGCGAGGCTTCGGGAGGCGATCCTTCGCAATTACCGCTTTCTGTTTAGCCGGAGCAAGTCACAAGCCCGAAAGTCTGAAGCAACAAAACCTTGTAACCCTGAAAGGTTAATGCCGGTCAGGGTGCATGTAGGAGAACCGGCCTGCTGTTTGTGCAAAGCACTGCGTAACCCCAAACCTGAAGCCCAGAAAAGGCTAACCCGGCGGATACCCTCCTGGACGCCATCACTGTCGATGCCGCTGCTGTACCCCGCCTTGCTTTGGGGTGCTGGGCTTGCGGTTTTTGGGCACGGAGAAAAATGGCTTTTTACGCAAAGGCAAGCTAAAGTCAGGATACTATTCTTTGAGGTCTTTGCTTGGGTCACTGTTCCTGGAACTCCCCTATCCAATAACGCTTTCCGCACCTTGCCCCTCAAACCTACCCTCCAAGCCCTACCTGAACCTCAACTCTCGACCCGAAGCCCTAAACCCTAAGCTTTGTCATGGTTGGGGAAAATTCTACATGTTTATGGGTACTTAAACGCAATAAGGAATAGAAATGCACAAAGCCCTCAACCGAAACCCTAAACCAACCTGAATCCCAATGCCAGCAGCCGTGTCGGATCCCACACCCGAAACCCTAGACCTTGAACCCGGGATATGAATCATTAAAAGTCCACTCATACACAACTAGAACCAACAATTGTGAGATTAATAGTAATATTGAGAAAGCGTTAATGATGATAACCCCTAAACCCTAAACCCTAAACGATAATGATAATGATAATGAAAACCCAAAACCCTCAAGTGGTGAGCTCTCATCTGAGAGCGTCTTGGTGTTTGCGACTTCTCCTTTCCCTTGAGTGTATGCCTCGTAAGGTGCAGTGTAGGCCCGACCTGTGCGAGCAGAGAAAGGCCGCTGCACTTTGGGGTTAAGGAGTTTAGGGTTTCCAAGGCTGTCCCTAAACCCATAAACCCTAAACCCTAAGCCCGAAGCCCTAAACCCTGACTAAACCCTAAACCCCAAGCCCTAAACCCTAAGCCCTAAACCCCAAACCCTAAACCCTAAACCCTTTAGGGCAGCCCTTGACTGAGGCCATGCTCGCCAAAGGCGACATGCGGCAGAACGGCTCGAGCTTAGGGAGCCCCGTGGAGTTCGGGCAGTGGCTGTCGGAGCCTGGGCTGGAAGTCTAGGGGCCTTAGCAATTAGACTTAGGGGGGGTTCTTAAAAGGGGGATATATAAGGGCTACTGTAAAGGATCTAAAAGGGTGCTTCAGTATATGGGCCTTAAAAGTTAGAATAGGGTTTTGGGGCCCATTATACCATAATTATAATAAGGAGCCCCCAAGCTTCCAAAATAGTAGAGGAAATTATTGAGGCCCCTATATTATATACTTGGGTTTGAGGTTTGGGATTTAGGGTCGAGGGTTTAGGGTTTTTAGGTTTGTGTTTGGGGTTTCGTTTTGGGTTTCAGCTAAAGTTTAAATTTAAGGGTTTGAAAACCCTAACGGTCCGTGTGCCCATGTACCTATATTGCTACTCCTCAAGCTCCCGTAGCTGGTTAGCCTGGTGTTCTGCAAACCCAACAGCGCATTGGATTTGAGGTCATCAGAACATCAGAAACATGTCTTAATGCCGGTGGGGAAGTTTCACCATATCACTCTGATTTTAAGTGTGCTGTCTCGTGTTGGTTCATAGCCGATGGCAAATGCAAACTTCCTGGCTTGCAAGCCCTAAGCCCTAAACTCCTTAAGCTCTACGCACATAGCCTCTTCAAGAGCCTTCCATCTGTAGCCCGGGGTTGGGGACATCTCACATCCTTAATCCGAACATCTACGACCCAAGCACCATCCTACTACCTTGAGGCCCATGCGCAAAACTCACGAACACACGCCCCAAAAGGGATATCTCAAAGCCCAAAGCGACTTCCACTACGAATCCCGGCAGCCCAGACATCGCCAACTCCTTAACCTTCAACCTCCAGTTCCCCCACTTCGGCACTCGAACCTCGAATCCCTAAGCCCTAAATCATGAGCCTCAACCCCAAAACCTGAACTACAAGCCCCACGTCCTAAACCTGAACCGCTCCTCAAACCCCAAAGCTCCACCCTAAGCCTTCAAGAATTGGAAGTTTGGCAGTAATTAGGAGACCTGGGGGAAGCACCAGACGACCTACCAGCAGGCAGGCAACACCTTGTCACCAGCTGTCAGCGTTTGGGGTTTCCGGTTTAGAGTTTAGGGTTCAGGATTGAGGGTGTCGTTTTGTAGGGATTCTGAGTTGGATTGGGCCTTGAGGTTTGCTGCAAGCTGAAACTGTGTTATCATACGAGGGTCAACCCTAAACCCTAAATCCTTTCTTGGAGGTTCCGGGGTCGTTTTCTGTGGAGTTACAAGTAAGGTAAGTACATGTATAACCCATATTAGGGGGCTTATAACCCCACTTATAATTACCCATGAACAGCGCGGGAGCCTGTAGCAGGCGGGAGGAGGACATGAAATATCAGGGTCCCCCGAATCTCCTGCATAAATAGGGTGCAGGGTTCAGGGTTTTAGGGTTTAGTGTAATTCCTGAAGGGCCCCTTGGTTTTATCAGAGTATGTCCTGTCCACAAGCTCTGGTTACTCTACTGATTCAGCCCGTTAGATTACGCATCCCGCTGCATTGACTCCTGCGGGAAGTAGCAACAGCAGTAGGAGAATGTACGATGCAGTGGGTGGTGTTTGTTACGTGCCATAAGCTGCAAGCCCTGGAGGCACCTGCGGCAAAGATGCACGTGCCGCAGCTGGTCTCTCCTTCGTTTGGGTTTTGGATTTAGGGCTTAGTGCTTAAGGTGGTTTCAACTCAAAGGCATTGTGGTTTGGCATTGCTCTGACAGGTGCTTTCCCCCAGGTGGGAGATGCAAGACAACAAGGCAGCCTCACAAACGCCTTGGATTCGGAGTATAAATGAATGCCCCGCGCACACACTCATCTGCAGAAACCTGACACCGGAATGCTAAGCCGCACCTCTAGCCCCCGGCTGTGAAGCAGACTGAACACCTCTAAAATTCGGAACCCTAGGCTCCAAATCCAACTCTTAGCCCTAAATCCTGAACCTGGAGCCTGAAACCTCTACGGCTTCGAAGCTCTGTTACCATGGGCCTGAATCCTCGAGCCATACCGATTACATGTAGATTTCTGATTAATTAGCACGCTTTGTTCAAGAGCATTCGGGTTTAGTATTGAGAGTTTAGGATTTGACCCCCGAGCCCTAAACACCAAACCCTTGTGCCTCCTAAACCCTGAACTCGAGACGCTAAACCTTGAAAAGTGGACGAACGCCTCTTACAGCAGGCCCTAAACCGAAAACCCTATATAAACCCTTTACCCCAAAACCCTCAATCCTAAACCCCAAACCGTAAACCCCAAACCCTAAACCCTAAACCGTAAAGCCTAAATCGTAAACCCCAAGCCCTAAACCGTAGAGCCTAAATCGTAAACCCCCAAACCCTGAACCGTCAACCCTAAATCCTCAACCCTAAACCCCTAAGCCCCTAAACCCCTAAGCCCCTAAACCCCTAAACCCCTAAACTCACCCTACTACCAGTTGAGGCTTCCAGACCTGGCAGTCGCCACTTGCACTTGGGGGGAGGAGATTTTCATCCACATGCGCCGCAGCTGAAGGGCTTAGGGGTTCAAGAGAGTTTCGGGGTTTAGGTTTGCAGGGTTTGGAGGGGTTGGGGGTTTCAAGGTGACTGGTTTTATGCCCGAGTTCTGATGGAGTTTGTATGGATGTGACTTGCACAATGGTGATGAATAGATCCATTCTTTTGAGGGCTGGAACATCAGGCTCCTCACTATAACTGGAGAGGGGACCAGTAAGGGCCCTTTGATCAGGGCTTACGCACCTTGGGAGAATGATGGAATGCTGTCACGACCTATGAAGGCTTCCAGCTTCGAGCCGAAAATCGTTAGCCTCAAGCCTAAACCCCTTAATGCCCCAAGCCTTTAAGGGGTCAGGGTTGACGGATTCGTTCAGAGTTCAGCGTGCTGGGCAGGGCTGCGGCGTTTTCTCGTAAACCCTGTAGACCCTAAAAAGCCCAACCCGACTCAAGCCCTAAGCCCACAACCCGATAAAGCTGCAGCCCCAAAAACCCAAACCGTGGTGTTCAGGAAGCGTGCAGCTGTGCAGCTGCACCGGGACCGGGAACAGGCCAGGAGGAACTGAGTCGATGCGAAGGTTCGAATAAGAATAAAAGAATATTAATAATAACAATAATACAACATAGTAATATTTATCAATAGAGATAAATTGAAAATAACAATAAATAGTAGTAATAATAGCAATAATGGTAACAATAATAATGGGTAAGATGACTTGTTGTGGCTCCCAAATAGGTTTAGAAAGGAGGAGCCTGATAGCTGGTTAGGACGCTTAGCGCGAAGCACGTCGCCTGTAAAGCTAGCGATGTAGGTTTCGAGATAGCGACCTCGCAGTGGAAGGTCCACCCTAAACCCTGCAAACAACCCTAAACCCTAAACCGGAAGGTGATTTGGAACAACCTGCTGCTGGTTGGCGGCCTCGCCATCTTCTGCATCTGTGCTCCAGCGAAAGCTCCACAGCAAGAGTTGATGCAGCTGGTCTGCTACGGTGACCTGCGATATTTAGGGTTTAGGGTTTAGGGGTACACAAAACCCTAAGCCTAAAGGCTGCAAGAGCCGTATCTCAGCCCTACTGAAAGCTTCCCAAAGAGTATCTGAGAATTGCTTGAGGTGGAGGACACTGAGGGCCATGTTCCCTTAGCTCAAAGCTCCCATGCAATGGCCAAATCTAACGAGGCAGCTGCCTGTATGGCTTCATCAACCTTCGCAGAACCCAAGCTCAAAGGCTTTTGAACCTGGAAGCCCATGACCGTAAACCCTAAACCTCGTGAAGGCATCCGCTGCTGGCGCTGTTCCTGCTGCTCCTGACGCAGGCTTCGGAATGTCCCAAAACCGGACATCCTCAACATAATACACTGTAACACTTAGGCTGCCTCAAAACCAACAACTGTTCATGTGCTTCCATGTGGAACAGTACGTAAGAACTCACCTGCGGCCTAGAGAAGTTTGCAACACCTTCACGAAGCCTCGGGCCTAGCCAAAGCCTCAAGGCCCCACCCTTTTGCACAAAGTTCATTCTCAAGCTAACCACCCAAAATGCTGAACACCCGAACTCAAGCTCAAAGATTCTTCGTTTGTCCGGTAAGGGGAACCTTGAAGACCCAGTATAGAAGCCTGAGCAAGTACTAACATCATTCCTCGGGCTCCCTTGCAACACACCCCAAAGCCGTCCTCCTTCTAATCACCAGTGCCTCCATATTATGTAGAGCCTTACAGCAACAGTAACCCTTCTGAAAGGCTTCAAAGGAACCCTCTAGAGGGAGGCTCATTCCGATCATTACGGCCCCCCGATTAACAACCCTACAAAACCCTAAACCCTAAACCCTAAACCCCTAAACCCTAAACCCTAAACCCTAACCCCTAAACCCTAAACCCTAAACTGTAAACCCTAAACCATACACCCTTATGTAACCTCGTCCTCCTGGCCGAATGGCCTTCTACCTGTTGCTTCCTGCAGATGGAAAAAGGAGTCAGAAGACAAAACAAACAACGATACCATACACCCTATCTTGAGACTTGCAGCCTCTAAGAAAAAAGGAGCACAAACCCCCGAAAAAGCCATACACCCTATCTTGAGACTTGCAGCCTCTAAGAAACAAAAAGGAGCTCAAAAAAAACACATGGGTGGTTGTCAAAATCAGGGTCCCTTTTTTGGGTACCCTAAATATTAGGTGCCGTATTATAAAGTAAGTCCGGAGGACAGGCTCCCACTGCATTGGAAACCACCTGCGAAATTGTCTTCTCTGCACCGTTGGGGTGCGGCAAGACAAGATTACAATGCGCTTTTTAGCTTCTGGAAGAACTGGACCATTGTGGACTTTGATGGTAAAGTCCCCTTCAGTTCATGGATGCATGTTTTGCTGGTGTTCTTGCAAATGGGTGGCAATAGAGCCGTTTTCTGCGCCAGATGCCCTAATGTAGGTGCTGCACTCTGGAAGTTCCGAGTTCTTTCCCTAGACCTTCTCAGTAATGCCCTCCCGGATGATTTCGGTTTTGAGGACTTTAACATTGACTCTGGGACTGAAATTTTGTGGTGTAATAAAATGCCTGTGTCTCGTGTTTTCTGTGACGCTTTTGGACTCCCGTTGCAATGGAGCATCGCGGATATTTGTGTCAATCTAGTGCGCAAGCATGTTGAACTTGCTGCAGAAAGAAATTTGAAGTTCAAGAATCACTTGCTTAGTACGCAAGATTTCTTGCAGTTGGTTGACCAGCATCAAAATGTAATTTCCCTTGACCCTCTCACTAGCAAATGGATTAGATGCAGTCGCCGCAAGCGCAGGCACCTACCTTGGGAAGAAACTGCCTTAAGCATTGGTACGGAAACTGCGCTTTGTAGTGTTTCTGAGAGAACTCTTGCCTTTTGGAAAGAGCAAGATGTCAACACAATCCGATCCTTCTTTGCTCCCGCCGCCACGGCTAAGTTGCAGTTCAAATCCAAGAAAGCCTGCTTTGAAAAATTGCGTGAAATTCTGGACACTAATCTTCATTTTCTTGACTGTTCACCTCAGAAGCTTTGCCACTTTGTTGCCCCTGCTTGGGCGGAGGATGTCCCCGCTTGCCACTTCTGCGGGGTTTCCATTAAATTTCCTCAAGTATCCTGACAAGATTCATAGACGCTGTAAGCGCGTCGTGGCTTGTGATGCTTTTGTGATTGCATCTTGGCTCACCGCGCTCACTGAGCTGGTGAATGACTTGACTGTTGTTCTTGACAAATTCTAGGTTCTTGTTTGTTTCCATTCATGTTTCACGTGCACCAATGAGTGCTTCATGCAAACGACCGACTGATGTCCGTTAATAATAAGGACCCAAAAAGGGACCCTAATATTGACAACCACCCACATGCACCCTATCTTGGGGTTCAGAGAGCTCCCCTCGGAGGGCGTCGCAGCCCAGCGCGTCTTCGGCGGCCGCGAGCGCTTCGTGGTCTGGCGGGAGGCCGGAGTCGGCACGAAGCTGGGAGGCAGCTACCTTCGGGTTTTTTGGGTTTCGGGTTTCGGGTTTAGGGCTTTGGGTTCAGGGTTTGGGGTTTAGGGTTTGGGGTTTTTGGGTTTAGGGTTTAGGGTTTAGGGGTTTAGGGTTAGGGTTTGGGGTTTAGGGTTTAGGGTGTTTTGGGTTTAGGGTGTTTTGGGTTTAGGGTTTAGGAGGCTACCCTACCTTTTAGAAGGGACTTTGGGGTTTGATTTATAGGGGTCGTAAGTTTAATATTTTCTGCGCTTGTTTATGCATGTCAGGGATTTGTTTTTGTTGTTGGGTTGGTATTGTTATGTTTGTTTCTACTGTTGTTTGAGTTGATGTTATTGCAGTGGCCTTCTGGTTTTGTTTCAGGTTGTAGGTTTGGGAGTTTAAGGTTTAATGATTAGGGTTTGCTAAGACTCGGTATTGGATGTTAGGGAGTTGGGGGTTAGGTCGTTTCAACTATCCACGCTTCCAATAGGTTCTCAACCCTCCTACAGTAGAAGACCAACAGTTGGACACCCAATAGCCTCAATCCTTAAGACTAATGTATATGGAATCCTAGCACTATTTGGCCTTGATTCGGTTTCCAACTTTATGGGGTTTACTGTTACCCTGACTAAGCCGCTGAAACCCAAGACCGAAATCCTTAAATCCTAGGCCCCTATACTCTTCCAGTAGCTCTCCAGACAAGCTCCAAGACCAGCGCCGGTATCCCCTATTATACTTCTATTAGGACCTAAGCCACGACACCCTTTTCTACCGATTAAGGCCTCTACATGTGGGAATGCTGGTAGCAGCAACCCTTATAGAGCGCTTCAAAGGAAGCCTAGAAGGAACCCTATTCTAATTCTAAACCCCAAAAACCCTAAACCCTAAACCCTAAACCCTTACAAACCCTGTTCTAATTCTTAAGGCCTCTTAAGTACCGCACGCCCCAAAGAATGGACGCCCAAAGCCCGAAGGAGCGTCTCCTCAGGAGGGGCGTCTCCCTTCAGGGACGCCCAAGAGTTTAGGGCTTTAGGGCTTTAGGGTTTTAGGGTTTTCGGATTTTAGGGTTTTAGGGTTTTATGGTTCAGGATTTAAGGTTTAGGGTTTTGGGTTGAGGATTTAGGGTTTTAGGGTTTAGGGTTTAGGGTTGAGGGTTTAGGGTTTTAGGGTTTAGGGTGAAGGGCTCTAAAGAAGCACCCCCGAAAGGGAAAATCCGAAGCCCAAGCCTTGAAGTGACTGTAAGTCCCAGGCCCATAACCCTAAGCTTTCTAGGTCCTAAACCTCGAACCCCAGGCCCTAAGCCCGAAATCCTAACCCCAAGCCCGAGGCCCTGAACTCTGAACCCACCCCCCCAAACAGCAAAAAATGAGGAACACCTTCCTGTGCTTCTTGGGCCGGGACATCGCAGCACTCGCCGAAGTGCTTCTGGCTTCTTTGAGCCTTGGCATCTTACACAGCGAGCCCCAGAAAGCTGGAACATGGGTTGAGGATGACCGGTGCTAGGATTCCATATATTTTAGCTAACAGGTAAGCAGGAGTTCAAGAACAAAAGCCCCAAACCCGGAAACCCTGAACCCTAAACCCCATGCTCAAACCCGGAAGTCCTAAACCCTAAACCCGGAAGTCCTAAACCCTATACCCTAAGCCCGGAAGTCCTACACCCCCGGAGGCCGGTGTTTTTTTCACCGGAGAAAGGAGGGGCTTGAGATGCTACTTGCATGTGTATTTAGGGTTTAGGAGCTTTGGATGTTCGGTTTAGGAATTTCGGGTCGAGGGTTTAGGGTACGTACAGCAGAAGCCGAAAAGGTGGAAAGCCAATAGCTTGAACCCTTAACTGTAATGTATAGAGTAATGTATAGGGAATCCCAATTTGGTCTTACTCCGATTTCCAACTTTAAGGGGTTTGCCGTATGTGGTTTCAAAGGCGCTTAGGAAGTCTTCGTGCAAGTAGGACGTAGGAGCCTTGGCCCGTCGAAACAGATCCACCGAGTCCCGAGCCGGTTTTAAGTACCCTAATATGGGTCATAATTACAGTTACCCTGCTTAAAACTCCATTTAGAGCTACTCATGAACCCAAAAGCAGCATTTCGGGAATCGAACAACGTTTTTTCGGTTTTGGGATCTGGGGCTTCGGGTAGTTGAGGTTTGGCTTGGAGTTTCAGAGTTCCGATTCAGCGCAGTCGGACGGGCTTTTAGACCCACAGCAAATGTGCTAAGGATTCAAAGCTAAACCCCACATGCGCAAACCCCAAGCCCGAAATCCTACGCCGCAACTCTTTGCAAACAGAACCGACATCGCAATCTAAACCTTAAGCCCTAAAGCATCGTAGGAAACCTAAACCCTAAACCGGCCCGAAAACCCTAAACCCCGAAACCCTTAATCCCTAAACGCCTAAACCCCTAAACCCCAAACCCTAAACCCCTAAACCCTAAACCCTAAACCCCTAAACCCCTAAACCCCTAAACCAACGACCAGAGTCAGGCTCTTCGCCGCTCTTTACTGGCCTCTGGGACCTCTGACGTCAAGCCACCACACGATCTTCTGGGTGAGCTGGCTGCTGATGGGTTGAGGGTTTAGGGTTTGGGACTTGGGGTTTAGGGTTCAGGACTTAGGATTTAGATCTGAAGGGTTGGGGAAGTTTAGGCTTTGGGGTTTAGTTCATAGATCTTGGGCTTCAGATTGTTGCAGTAGGCTTTCGTAGGGTTGTCCAGGAATCAACTTGTAGTTCAGAGGCATGAGCCTTTTGAGATGTTTCTCTTCTGCTTCGGAACCCCTTTTCGCTGAATCCTAGCAAGCGAGCCATGAGCTCCAAGCACAGCTTGCTAGATTCTTCGGTGCAAGCCACCTCTCTCACTGCCGAAAGCGCGCGGGCTTAGGGATTTTACGGTTGAGGGGCTAAGGGATTCACGGGTTTTAGGGTTTAGCAGTGAAGCCTGCATCCCACACCGGGGCTCAAACAACTGCCAATACTATTCCAGAGGGGCTCCTTAGTATGGTTTTACTATAGCAACTCTAAACCCAGAACCCTATACCCTAAGCCACACAGCCCTGTTCAATTTAATTTATGGAGGCCCCTACATTACACTTCTAGGTCGCTTGAGGCTTTGATCAACTTGAGGGTTTAGCACTGGCAAGGGTTAGGATTTAGGATTCAGGGCTGAGGATTTATGACTTGAAGTTTAGGGTTTAGGACTTAGGGTGTAGGTTGTACCCTAAAACCTAAGCCCCAAAAGTGGGTGGGGTTTTGGGGATTCATCAGGCCGCCTTCGTCTTCGTCTACGCGGCCTATGGCCTGAACTACATCTGCAGTGTCTTCATGTCTCCAGACACCGCGCAGATGATGGCGGTGGGGGACCCAGAAATGATCAGGGTAAACCCTAAACCCTAAACCCTAATCCCTGCAGAGAACCACGGAGAGACCCGAAATTCCAGAAAGCAACAGGCGCGGGTTTCTTGCACTTTACCGAAGGCTTCAAGGGTCCTTTGGGGGGTAGTTGTCTCAGGCCTCAGGGTCCCTGTTGGGGGGGCCCCTCTTTTCTTCAGGGTGCCACCTTCTTTTGGGTTCCCAGGAAAGGATCCCCAGGTAGAGAGCTCCCCTTATGCTTAGGGTTTAGGGTTTAGGGTTTAGGGTTTAGGGCTACGTACGAAAAGAGGGAAGGTCTGGGATCCTCTCGCGACAGGCGGAGGGAATGCAACGGATCGACTCGGATGCACGTGGGTTGGAGCCGGGTGTCCAGCGGATGGCTTGTCCCAGAAAGGTAATTGGGAGTTTCCGAAAATAGGGGACCCTACTATAGTACCCTGAATCGTAGGATCCTTATTACAAGGACTCCAAAAATAGGTACCGCCAATTTTCGGAAACTTCCAAATCCCCAAACCCAGGCTCTAAGCGCCGAGTACAGGCGCCAAAGCAATTCGTCAGAGTATCACGCTTGTATTGCAAAAGTATAGCGACACGATAAAACCCAAACCCTAAACCCAACACCATACCCAGAGAGCCCAATACCCCTTAATTAAGGAATATGGCTTAAACCATAATATGAAGCCCTTTTATAATTTAAGCCATATTCCTTAATTAAGGGGTATTGGGCTCTCTGGGTAGTCTGACTATGAAGGCGGTATTGTTGCAGTTCTCATGATGCCTCAGCAGAACATCCGGTCTGAGGTGGTCATGGCCTTCCTTGCGTTCCTGCTCGCCGGCTTCAACCCGTCCTTCAGCGCCCCGGACTCTTGGGGTCTATGCGGGTTTCAGGGCTTCGAGGAGTTTTTGCGGAGAGGGGGGTTTGCGGGAATTAGTTCTCCAACTCCGAAACCAAAACCAAACCTTCGCCGCCACAAGCCCCAGACCCCAAAAACCACGAATTCGCCAAACCCAAAGCTGACAGTCCAAAGCAACGCAAGCAACGAAGCCTGAAACCTGAAGCCAAACTCGAATTTTGGGGCCAGTTTTTTTTTAAAATTGTTCTATTCTTTAGGGTTGTAACATCAGATCCCCAAACCCTCTTCTAGCTTTTCACGCCCCTAAACAACCAGGGCTCTCTAACCCCTACACGCTAACCTGAACCAACCTTATCCCTACACCCTACATCCTAAACCCTGAACCTCCCAATCCGACTGTAGCAGGAAGGAAAAGGGCCCTCAAAAAAAAAAAAAGAACCTCCCAATCCCAAGTCACATTCTACCCAGGCTCTCTTTCGGCAATGCCCCTGGGGATCGGGCCTATCGTGATGGCTCTATCGCCCATGAGATGGGCCTATGGAGTTTCGGCTGCAGGGCTTTTATGAGGGCTAGGTATCGATTTGGGATGATGTTGAGTTTCCCTTATCGCTTAATCCCTAAACCCTAAACCCTAAACCCTAATGATACATCGTTTTGGGGAGTGAAATCGGCACCTAGTGGACGTTTGCAGGGGTTCGGCAGGCGCTCAGAGGGTTCGTGGCTTATGGAGGCAGGGTTTTGTAAGGGCTTCTGCAGGGTGTTATATGTTTTATAGTGGTTCTATAGGTTTTCACAGGTTTACGAACAGTTCCATAAGGTTTCGAAAGGGTATTAGAAGGATTCTGTTCACCTTCAGAGGATCGGATCTTTCTAGAACGCGCTGCAGTATTTTTAGTACATGGCAGGAAGAGCAACAACCCACATAGGAACACACTTGAGTCTGAACCAGGGTCTAGTTGTTGTAAGGACGGTAATTTCTGTGGGGTTGCAGGGTTTCGTTAGGGTTCAGCGTGCCGCCCTGCAGAACAAGAGTAAGAAGTTGGGGTACAGTATATAGGGACGTTTGGGGAGACTAGTGCCAATCATTCAGACATGCCTTTCATTCAGCCGTTGGGTTTGGGCCGCAGCCACAGAGGGAAGTTTCCACAGTAGAGGGGAGTGCTGCAGCAACGTGAATACTGTACGGGCATTCATTAATAATTAGAACAGGGTTTTGGGGTTCCTTCTTCTAAATATAGTGGAATATCACCCCAAACCTCAGTCTAATTATTATTAAGACCCCTACATTAAGTGGGCATGACTCGCCCCCAGAACGACCAGAAGAAGGGCACAAGGAGGGTCAGCCTAGCAGGGGCGGCTTGTGTATGGGTTTGGCTTGAGGCTTAAGGCTAGTGCTTTAGGGTTTAAGAGTTAGGCTTGAAGGTTTTGGGGTTACGGTTTCAATGAGGTTTAGGGTCTTATAGGGCTTCTAGCCAGCGCACAAGAATGGAAGAATCTAGATCGCAGAGGGAGTTTCCTGATAAGATTCATAGACACTGCAAGCGCGTCGTGGCTTGTGATGCTTCTGTTATTGCATCTTGGCGCACTGCGCTCACTGAGCTGGTGAATGACTTGACTGTCGTTCTTGACAAATTCTAGGTTCTTGTTTGTTTCCGTTCATGTTTCACATGCAGCAATGAGTGCTTCATGCAAACGACCGACTGATAGCCGTTTATGATAATGCTAATTATAAGAACCGGAAAGAAGACAGGACATGCGATGTATTCAGGTGGTGGTGGAAGCATCGCCCGGCCCAGATTCCATTTTCGAACACAATCTCCAAGCTCCCCAATATCACCTAAATGCTCACCCCGATGATAGGAGAAATTGGAACGTTGTTGCTTCGGGTTCTCTATTGTAGTTAAAGGCTGAAACTCAACAATACTCAGTTGATTTATTTGGGACTCTTGCTTACTTAAACTCTTACGAGAGCTACATTGCAACTATATGTGCATACTCAGACCCCATAGTAATACAGGAGTTTGAATAAATACTTTTCTATTTTGTTTCTTAGGGTTCCTGATTTCAACTTTATTACAGTATAACGACCCCCGCAAAACCCTGTTGTGGGTAATGCCCTATACTATAGAATCCTAATAACCCATACTACGATAACACCCACCCAATCAACAACATTTGTTTTGATCTTAAGCCAACCCTTATCACTATTCTGATTCTATAGGCCCCTTTTTATGAGAGTTTCCGAAAATTTGGGGTATCTCATTTTGGTGTACTTATATGGGATCCTACTATTTATGGTGCTATATCAAGGTCCACTGTTTTCGGAAACTCAACCCCATACCCTAAACCCTTAAACCCTCAACCCTAAACCTCTATCCGTACACCCTGAACCCTAATCCCTATTCTGATTATGTCGGCACCTAGATGTCCCAGGCTTCCTGATGCATGACCACATGCTGCAGAAACTCTCCGGCTTCGCCAACCCCATGGTCGGGGAGCTCAGAGAACTCTTCAGGGATACAGGGTTTAGGGTCTAGGGTACACAGAAAAATCTTTGTTTTGGGGAACCTGTTCCTTAAAGGAACCGTGAGGGCCCCAGGAATTTCCACTACCTATTTTGGGGTTTCCTTGTTATAAGTATATATGGTATAGTACGCCTCAAGACGCTATTTTAATTATTCCTCTCGACTGGCGAGTTGCGTTCTTCGTGGTCTCAAGGCTGCTTTATGCAAGCACAAATGACCAGGCTTTCCGGGACCCAAAACCCCAAAGCCTAAACCCTAAACTGTCTAGCTTAAACTTTCATATTACAGGACCAAGGCATGGTTCCACGAACTAGTGACTCTTTGTCTCGAGTCTGGGCCTTTCAACCCCAAAGCATTAACCCTAAACGTACATCCCAGCCCTTTTCCCTAATGCGAAATCGTGCAGATCTATCTATCCGAGATCCGAACCACTGCCTCATGAGAGGGTCAGGGAGAAGTGCTGGTCTGAGTGGTGACAGCAAGAGGGGTTTAGTCCAAGGTGTAAGGGTCTAGTTAATGCAAATAAACAGTAGACTAGTTTCGACGATGCACGAATAGCGTAAGGTTCAGCAGGACCTATCCAGAAGAGCAGCCACCTCCGAGATCGTCCTACATCCTTTCTCCTGCATATCGTTCGTCCCTGATTTCCTTCTTACCTCAACACCTTTACTTTTTCAATGCTGGTGACTTGCAGCCCTTGAAGGTGCGGTTGTCGGCCCAATCCATGCTGGACGAGCGTGGCATGCCCCTGGAGTGGATCAGCAAGTCAGGCGGAGCGGGAAGAGGGGTGGGGGTTTGGGGTTTAGGGTTCAGGGTTGCGGGCCCAGGATTTAGGGACTCGGGTTCAGGATTTGGAACGTCTTGACAGTCGTTAATCCTAGCATAGTATGCGTCCATCCATAGCCTAGTCCAATAGGTCAGGCCACCGTATGGGTAGTTCTCTAAATTTGGGGTCCCTTTCGAGTTCCCCAAACCCTGATAAACAGGACCCTCAAAGGGACTCTAGTTTAGAGAGCTTTAGCTAGAGAATTAGATCGACGAAGGTGGGCACGGCTCAAAGGCCTGGAGGATCGAATTGAAGTTCGGCTTTGGGACAACATGCCCTGGGCTAAGCCCGGCAAGCCTTCAACCCTAAAGCCCTAAAGCCCTAGAGCCCTAAACCCTAAATCCTAAATCCTAAATCCTGAAGCCCTATAGCCCTATAACCCCTAGAAAGGGGCTTCGCCTTGAAGCAAAATCCGACGGTTGCCCCACCTTATGGATCCTGAGCCTCAAAGCCCGGAAGCCCACGCAACAAAGTCGTAGAAGCCCTAGAAGCCCAAGAGGCAAACTCTAGATCCTAGACCCCAAACCCTAGAGCCCCGGGACCCTGAAGCCTGCAAGACCTGCCGTGCCGAAGCGAGCACTGAACACATACTATAGGGGCCATAATAACAATTATCTATACTATTCTTTGGTGTTCCTCATTATAGTTAAAGTATAATAATACCCCCCCCCCCCCAAAAAAAAAAAAAGAAAACCCTATTCTAGTTATGAAGGCCCTTACACAAACATCACAGAAGGCGGCAAAAAAACCTTAGCCCGCAACTCACACCCGCTTAGCTTGACACTCTAAACACTCCCCGAACAAAGCCGGAAACCTTCAGACCCTTGTAACCTCAACCCCAAACCGTCATTGCCCCAAGCCCATAAGAATAAGTGCCCTTACATGCACGCCTTCATCGTGAGATCCCTGTGTTTATGTGCTCTGTTGGGCCCCTAAACGAAGACTTCTGCACAACTCAACCCTAGCCCTATACATTGCAACCCTCGTGAACCCTAAACCCCTAAACTCCTAAACCCCGAAACCCCTAAATTCCCACCCGGCCCCGTCTTGGGCCGTTCGCGAACAGAGGGCGTAAGCCCTAAACCCTAACCGGAAATGGTTTGGGTGGTTGCCTGTGGTATCATATCATCACAGCGGGCGGGTTCTGGGGAACTTCCGGCTTCACCGAGTTCTAGGACACATGCAAGGAACGTCGCTTGACGCATAATATGCCGCCACCCACAAACCCTGGTGTGAGGTGGCGCCATCCTAGCATGGATTAGCAGCCACTGCGCAAGAAGACACCCCTAAACCCTAAACCCTATACATCGCAACCCCAAAGCCCTACATCGAAAAGCCCTCAAGCCCCATCCTACAACCATGCCGCCCACCTCAACCCGTAAGCCCTTAAAGCCTTAGCACAACCCGTGCAAAGCCCATATCCCGCTTCATGAAGCCCTTTATTTATACTATCCTTATCAATGACTGTTTTGGCATTCTATGTCCCTTATCAACCCGAGCCGCCCAATTTTACAACCCGACACTACTACAGGCCCTATCCCTAAACCCTAAACCCCCACCGTTCGGGAGGTTGGACCTGTTCCACCGGCTCGGTAGAGTGGAACTGGAAGGGTGAACACTGTCCAGACGGCATCTTGGCCTTTGAGGGTTTAGGGTTGTAGGGTTCAGGGTTTAGGAGTGGAGGGGTTTAGGGTTTTAGGGTTTTAGCATAGCACTTGAGATAAAGGGTGCCTTTCAGGGTTCTGTTAATGGTTTAGGGTTTAGGCTTCGGACTCTGCCGCGACCGCGACAGGTGCTGGTGGTGGTGGTGGTTGTGTGGCTTCGGGATTCGTATACGTACATTGCGCTTGCATCTCTCGGTGAGGTGTGTTTGTGCAAAACCACCTTCCTCTGGTCAGAGTTACCGCGCCTTTGGGTGCAATCCTCTGGTGACTCTGATGATTTGGGATTTGCAGGCGAGCTTAGTGCCGCAGGCATGCTTCGGCCCGTGAATGTCGAAGCAGAGATTGCGTCCCAAAGTTATGCAGTTCATATAGAGGCCTTGATAAATACCTATACTATTTTGGGGGTCCTTATTATTGTTATGGTGTAATATACCCCAAAACCCCGGTTTAGTTATTCAGGCGTATATTGTGTTCAGATTGTGCATCCGTGCACGGGGGCCCCTAAAGCCGAGCTGAAGGGTTCGTTCGACCTAATCCTGAGTTTAGGGTTTAGGGTTGGGTTTAGGTTAGGATTTAGGGTTAAGGGTTTAGGGGTTTAGGGTTTAGGGTTTAGGACAAGGTTGATTTCTCGACCTGCTGGCAGGGACTCAACATTAAGCTTATCTTCACTGAAGGTCTGTAGCCAGAGGTGTATCTTCCCCGAGTAAGAACGATCCCGAACTGATCCCTTTCAGACGAAAATGGTGGCTTGAGTATTTCGACAGACTGTTCCCTTGTAGTCTTGATATAGCCATAGCATGGTATTCGCCAGTACCTGCTTCTTCCGGTTAAGACCCCTAAACCGTAAATCGGAATTTCCAACAGAGGTGGCTCAGACTGCTCTAGCTTCCGGCCACCAAACGGCTTCGTCTGCAAGATGACGCAGTTACTGCTGCCAGGAGCCGAGCTGTACTTAGAGGAGCAGGGAACCATAGCTAAAAATAGCTTTTACCCCCCACTTAGGGTACTTATAACCTTGCTTACAAAAAGCCCCGTGAAAAATCGGCCTGAGGAGTGTATGGCGCTTAGAGTTTAGCATTTTCTTTGCCAGACCTTCCCAAAGCCCTCAGAGCCCCCATAACACTCTTCTCAAAGCGTATGAGAGCCTGCGAAACCGAAGTTATTTTCAGACCTAGGGAACCTTGGGTTAATTTGGTTGGATGACTCATAGAGGGTTCAGGGGTTTGGGGCTTAGGGTTTGAGGGTGCAGGGGTTCAGGGTTTAGGCCTAGGGGTGGAGGAGATATTTCAGTTTCGGAGAGGAGATATTTTAGTTTCGGAGTGCTCGATGCGTCCTGCACCTCAGCCACAGCGGTGAGGGTTCTAGTTTTTCGGACATAGATAGGGCCGTGGCATGCTTGAAGGAAGCATGTTGGCAGTATCTTATGGCTGCCAAGGTTCATTCTCGCAAAAGTTTGGAAACACACTTGCTGCTTACATTATACCCTCAAGCTCTCTATTCCAACATGTCCCCTTGTAGCGGCTCGGATGGTCCTGAGGCTGGGGATCTACTTCAGAGCTATTGCGCTACTGTGCATGGCGACTTTGGCGGGGAGATGTGAGGGTGTAGGGTTTAGGGCTTGGGGTTTCGGGTTTAGGGCTGTGAGGGTTTCAGGATTTCACAGCTTTCGGGTTGAGGGTGAAGGGAGTTCACTGTAGTGTAAAGCCCTGAACCCTAAACCTTTAATCTGTGAACCCTTAAACCCCTAAGCCCTAAACCTTAGTTGATTTTCGCTTTCCGCACCGCGGATTCTACCAACCAACCGGCAGGTGGAAAAAGGCGTTTAAAAAATAAAAACCTTAGTTGTTGCTTAGAGGTACTTAGAAGTATTTTTTTATTTTTTGGTTATTATAATCCCACAGCTAAAATTATGATTTTTGCTAGGGTTCTAAGTTCAGTACAGGTTGGCTGGGGAAGTCTGGTCTGGGACCCCCTTCTGGGTGTGGGCGTGGAGTTTTAGGGTTTAGGGTTTAGGGTTTAGGGGTTTAGGGTTAAGATGGAAGACGCCCCGGCTCTTAGTAGGGAAGAGTGGAATGAGTTATGGGGACTGCTATTAGCGCCCTTAAGGGACGATCATGGGGATCCATTCCCCCATTCCTTACTGAGAACCAGCAAGCACAGCCGCTTTGCAGGGGCCTTGTTCTTTCAAGTGGTAGAGTAGGTAACCTTTAACCTTTTTGGGGTACTATAATCCCGGTATTATTTCAATCTACTCCCAAAGGTTAACCTTTAGTCCCCTGGGATACTGGACAAGTGGGCCTTTTAAGGAGCTTAACTCACGCCTCCACGACACTGCGAGACATGGATCCCTGGATGAACTATATAGGAGTTTCCGACAATAGAGGACCCAAATATAGTACCCAAATAGTAGGATCCCTTTGTAGGGACCCCAAAATACGGTACCCCTAATTTTCGGAAACTCCCATATAGGAGGAAGAGAAGTGAACAAGCCGTGGAGCTGATTTGTGGATCAGGTGCTGTAGAGGCTTGAATATAGACCCTACATAATGCATTATCGTAGTGAGCACTACCCCTACACCCGTCCTACCACCCTGTTCTGATTCTGAAGGCCCTTCTGTTACATACTGCGAAGACGCAGGTGGCGAAGAGATTTTCATAGTAGCATCGAAAATGCTTAGCCGTTGGTATTGGAACTTCTTGCCTTTCAGCCCGTGTGGCCCAGATTGGGCGGTCAGTCTGTCTCTTCTTTCGAAATCGTTTCCTTATTCTTCATACTTTTCTTCGTTTTTGAATCTAGCTTATTGCTACGATTTAACTCATGTTCTTGTGTTCAAGCTTCATCAGTGTTTTCCTGTGTAGGCACCAGACGCTGTTGTGATGCCCAGGTGATCACTTCGCGTTTGAAGGCATCGGGAGGAGGCACCGCACATGAAGTCCTAAGCAAACCCATGGCTCAAAGCCCTAGCCCTAGGGCCCTAGACGCCCCAGCTCCAAACAGTAAACGGAGTTCACGGTTTACGTTGCTTATAGGTGTTGCGGTTTGGAAGGCTTATGCGGCTGGGTTCATAGAAGTTGTAGTATAAGCCCCCAAACCCCATTGTAAGTATCAAGGCCCTTTACTCAGCCCTTCTAGTTCAAAAGGAACCGTATTTGTGAAGGGTTCTGGTCCGGGGAAACCCTAAACCCTAAACGGATCCTCTGCGATTTTGGCCGTGGGGGCGAGTGCACCCCCACATCGTAGCAGGAAGGGAATACAGGCCCCAAGCTGAGTAAATTAGGTTTGAGAGGAGTTATGGGTTGATGCTCAAGGGTTCGGGGTTCGGGGTCAAGGGCTTTGGGTTGAGGTGGAAGGGGTATATGCCGAAACCGGGGAGTTTCCGAAAATAGGGGGCCCTGGTATAGTACCCTGAATAGCAGGATCCTTGTTGTAAGGACCCCGAAATATGGTAACCCCTAATGTTGGAAACTCCCAAATAGCCGAACTAGTTCCAGAGTGACACCCACGATACGGGGTCTTCGAACGCTTTCCAGGTCAGCTTGTTGGCGGAGAGAGGAAGTCGGGTCAGCTGCAGCGGAACATCTTGCTTCGACGCTTTGAGTGGCCTAAGGAGTTTAGGGTGTTCGGTTCAGGGGGTTCAGGGGGTTCAGGGATTCAGGTTTGCGGGGTTCAGGGGTTCAAGGGTCTTAGGGTTTTGGGGGCAAGAGGCTTCAAATAGGTTCATTCACACAAAGGACGGCTCTGTCCGCTACGGGTCCCAAAGTAGTGGACCTTTGTTTGGAAGGGTCTACATTAGACTTCCTTATGCTGTGGAACTGCCATATCGGCAGTATCGTTTCTGTTCCTTGCTGTGCTTGCTATGCTTGTTCGCTGTTCTTCATACATCGCCACCTTTCAGCGCAGCAACGATTACTCTTCTCGACCGCAGCATGAGACCTTTTAAAGGAGCCCTTAAAGGAGCCCGTACAGGACCCCCCTAGAGAACCCCCCGACCCGAAGAGCCAATACCTAAAACCCTGTTCAACCTTCCGGCTCCTACATTGAATCTCAAAAAAGGCCCCCACAAACAGCCTTATAACACCCTCACAGAAGCCTTTTTTGGGAAGCTCCAGTCTTGTTCCCAAAGCACCTTTTAAGTAGCGTTTGTGCCTTCATCTTCCCACGGTGAGGCCACCGACTGTGCAGGGCTTCTTGATCTTTGGGGGGTTGGGTTTCGGATAGCGGTCTTTTCGGTTCGTTTTCAAAAATTTGAAAGTTCTTCGACTGCTGTCTGGTAGAGTTTTGGATTTAGTGTTCCTGGTTTTTGATTTAGAATTTGGGGTTTCGCCCAACAAGAATAACAAGAAACTAGCTCGAGCCAGAAGCGTTGAAGTGTAGGCTCGGAATCGCGAGAATTAGATCTTTTGTGGTCGTTGACGTCCCGAGCATACACCCTAAGTCCTGACCCCCTCAACCCCGTAAGCCCACAAACCACAGCCTTCTAAACCCTAACCCCGAACGCCTCACCCTCCAAGGACGGTTGTTCATTATCTACCTCGTGCTCCTGACCGATCTGGTGACTCGGATCTTGACCGGTCTGCACACACAAATCCACCCTAAGTTAAGCCCTGAAAAGTAGGATACCAGCTGCCCAGGGGGCACCAAGAGACCCCCAATGTTCCAAGCTCCATCAAACAGTTAGACAGTGATCTGGGGGTTTCGGAACTTTACTACGTGGCAATTTGGGAAACTTCTTAATTTCCCTTATGGTTCCTATAGAGGTACCTCTTCATGAATACTTTCAGAGCCCCAAGACTACAACCCAGTTTATTATTTGCATTCGGGAGCCTCGAAGGGAACAGGAGCAGTCCAGTCATTGTGACAAGCAAGCACAATGCGGTGACACTAGTACATAGACGCTGCAGAACGAACCCGAATCGAATCAAGAATCTCCGGCCGGCAGCTTAAGTCCCGGAAGACTCTATACAACAGTTACTCAAAGATCATAGCAATGTATGAAAGCCTAGCCGACATGCTACGAAACCTTTCGAATCCTTACAGAATCCTATTGAACCCTATGCCGCCAAACCCCACCGAACTCGAGCCGAAACTCGAAGCCCCCAAACTTTGCCCAGCCCGGACCCTTCAAGCTTGAACCGGTTTGTAGGGTTTGAGTTTAGGGTTTAGGGGTTTAGGTTTTAGGGGGTTTTGGGGTCTCCGGGTTCAGGGTTTCGGGGTTTAGGGTGTAGGGTTTCGGCTTCAGAGTTTAGGGTTCCCTGAAGCAAGGAGGTGTGCTTGCTCCTGGAGACGCAGTGAGAGCTTGCTTGGCCATAGGCTGTGACAGAGTACTTGGCTCTGCAGGTCATGAGCTTTACTGGCCTTATGTTGCGGAATCCTTCGTGCTCTCTTGAACAAAAGATAGCCCCCTTAAACCCTGAATCCTAAACCCCTAGAGTCTACATCTGGGTCTTCTGGTTGGCTCTGCGTCTTTTCTTCACGGACTTTCCAAAAAGAGCAGGAAGGACGAGCCAGGATGATTGAACTGGTTCAGCGCTGCTAAGCCGAAAATCCCCCGCAGACCCACGCCCGTAAGCCGCAGTGCCTTAAACCGTAAAGCCCATGAATCTTAAGCCCTTAAATGCCTACTAATCTCTAATATCTGACAAAGCCTGAACTTCGAAAAACCCCAAACTCTCTCAATCCCGCCACCCCCATCTGCTGTACCCCGACAGTGAAACCCAGAAAGTTGGAACATGATTTTAGGATGCTTGGTGCGCTGATTCCCTATACTTAACCTTAAGGCTACGAGGATGCTGATGTTCCAACTTTCTGGCATCGACTAGAAACCCTCTTAAGCTGTGCCCCCCTGCCCCACAAAATCTAAACCCCATCAAGCCCAACACTCTGCCAAAAACCCGAAAGCGCCCTTGACATAAGTGCCGGAATCATTTAGTTATCGATTTGGCATTGTTTTCCCAACTCATGTTGCAAAAGTTCTACAGAAACGAGCCATAAAGTTGTAGTAGTCCTTGGAGAACCCGTCCACGGAACCTCAGATTCCTAGTCTAGTTGTTTTACAGCTATATTCAATATTCAAGAGTGAACCCATACTTGGAGGTTCATGGCTAGCTATACGGGGAGATATAAGTAGGGCAACTATAAATAGAACCCATGTTGGGGAGTTATAACCCCACTTATAACTACCCACGAGCCTCCAAGTAGACCCTTATAGAATCCCTACAGATCCCTTTAAAGGAACCCTTAAAGGAGCCCCTATATCTATCCGTGAACCTCCAAGTAGAGTTCCGGGTCTGAACTGGAACGCTGGGACCACCCTGGTTCCGACACGCAGCGACCGAGCCCAGAGTCGAGCGTTGCGCATCCCAAACGCGAGGAGGGCAACAGATCTCTGAATGGAGTGGAGTTCGTGGTTCAGGGTTTAGGGCTTTTAGGGGTTTAGGGGTTTGGTCTAGGGTTTTAGGGTTCGGGGTGTAGAACTTAAGATTAATTAAGGCGCCGGGAGTAGGTCGAGAGTATTGGGGCTCATGGTCGTTTGAAGGGGCCAACCGATTGCAACTGTCAAAACTACTCTATAAGTGGACTATGGTTTCGGTTTCAGGGATCTCCAGAACATAGTTTTGTGCTTACTTTTTTTGAAGGGGAGTAGAGTACTACTACTTCTAGGGGATCACAGCCACAGCGAGGGTTCGACAAGCCAGCCATTGAGACTAAGCGCCACAGATTGTCGCAAAGATAACATAGAAGCTTGAAGAAACAGTCCTAGGCATACCGCCCAAAAGCCACATTCTGATTCTTCAGGGCTTTGTACTTATGTATTTTTAATTGGAGGGTGGGGGTGGGCGACTTGGCAATTTAGGTCTGAATACTCGAACTCTTACAAACCCTTTCAACTGCTTTAGGAAGAGGGTAAAGAGACGGATCAACCTAAATAAATGAACAAACATATGTGTATGTTTTATCCTATGAACATGTGTGTGAATATACATGCAAAAGAGATAGTCATTTGTCCAAATCATCCGTAGCATCTCGTATGCTTGTCTACAAAAGACTTTACAGCAGCTTTCGCTTCACCGATAAACTTCATGATCGTGATGTGTGAGGCCTCCAGCGTGCTGCGCTGACGGCCACTGTGCAGCTTAGGCTGGCTGTAGTTGAGAAAGTTACTGTTTATAGGGCTTGGAGTTTAGCGTATTGCTCATCTCATCGTGAATGCAGAAGTCTGCACCCAAAACACACCCAAACCCCAAAGCCCCGCAACCTAAAGTCACCGATATAAGAAGCCTCGAAAGCCCCTGACAAAGCCCCGTGTCAACCCCCGATGAACCCCTGATGACCATAGGATCCACAAGCGTCAGTTTCGGCACTTTTGAAACAGTAAGCAATGAACCTTCAGGCGCAGCTTGCTCTAGGCCCTACCGTAGGTTGTCTTTCGTGCCCTTTGGGATGTGGTAAATGCATAAGCCGGAAGCTCAAAAGGCACCCGAGCAGCACAGAGCCGCACCCTGCATACCCTAAGCTCCATACTATGGGTCCGGGATGCCCCTACATACATACTGTATGATATACACCAAAACCCTACAATATTGATCAAGGCTCGTGCATTACACTTTACACCTCAAGCCCCATTGTTAAACCGCGGCATATTGGCAGTATTGTTCTCCAGGGTGCCCTAGTATGTTCTCAAAACAGCGGTCAAAACACTTCTTGCGGCATCTACCCGTACGAAACTCGATAAAAGCCTGGCTTAAATCCCTGTTGCAAACCCTAAGCCCCAAAACACAATGAACCTAGCAGCCCCAATCCTGGGCATTAAACCCCAAAAGCTCAAACAACCCTAATAGAGGGGCCTAAATCGTCAGAATAGGGTTTGGGGGTGTATGATGCTGTAATAATAAGGAGCCTTCAAAACCCTATTCTTATTGTTAAGGCTCCTATATGGGAGTTTCTGAAAATTGGGGGTACCTTATTTGGGGGTCCTTGTAATAATGATCCTACTATTTAGGGTACTATATTAGGGTCACCTATTCTCGAAAACACCCTAAACCCTAAAGCCTAAACTCCTAAACCCTAAACCCTGGACCCTATTCTTATTGTTAAGGGCGCTTCATAAAATTATGAGCCCCCATACCCTACACCCTAAACCCTAGTCCCTAAACCCTAAACCGCATTATTATGAACCCCAAGCTCGGAAGCCCAGCGCTGTCAGATTGATTTTCGCGAAGCGACGCCACCGGCGGAGGAGTCTCGCGAAGGCCCCGACCTCAAAAGGCTGATATTGCTTCTTCTTCTTCTACTACTACTACTACTACTACTACTACTGCTATTATTATTAGTATATACTATTATTATTACTAAAACAAATTCCAACTATTACTACTATTACTACTATTACTACAATTACTACTTTTTCTACTATTGCTACTATTACTACTATTACTACTATTACTACTATTACTACTATTACTACTATTACTACTATTACTACTATTACTACTATTACTACTATTACTACTATTACTACTATACTACTATTACTATTATTACTAGTATTACGACTATTACTGTTGATGGACAAAATCCTGCAAGACCCTAAGGACTCTAAACTATGGGAACTATATGGTATATTCCTTATAATGGGTATTGCAGGATTTTGTCCATCAGCAGTATTACTACTTTTGCTTCGGTTGCTACTATGAATACTTTTACTACTATTGCTGGGAGTACTAGTCTTGCTACTATTATTACCACTATTACTTTATTTCTCCGGTGGTCTGTTTTCCGAGGAAGAATGGAGTTAAGGGTTTGGGTTAAAGGTTTAGATTTAGGGTCTGGGGTTTAGGGTTCAGGGTTTCGTGTTTAGGGTTTAGGATTTCGCTAGCGTTTGGGGGAATTTAGGGAAGAAGACGACTCAACGTCACCGGGCTCAGAGCATGAGGAGTGAAGCAGACCCTTCCAGCAGGGCCTTCCCAGCCCAAGGTTTCCCTCATTCCTAAACTCCCTGCTTTCCTGGGATCGGGGGGCACTTGGAGGTTCATGGGTAGTTTTTGGGTGGTGTCATGAGTCCCCTAATATGGGCCATAATTATAGCTAGCCTACTTGTGACTCCAGTATAACTACCCATGACCCTCCAAGCAAGCAAGCCCTCAAACTTCGTTCAAGCGCCAAAGATGCAACACAAAACCAAAGCCGTTTCATTGTAATACTACTGCGCGCGAAGCGTAAACTTTGCGTAAACCTGAGCTTGAGGCTTGAAGCCCTGAGCATAAGCCCTGCGGTCCAAGCCCGGAACCCTGAAACCCTCAACCCGCAAACCTGAAATCTTCCCAGCTGGCTCGGCACTGCCATTCCCTAAGCCGATCCCTTAACCGCATGCCCACATAAGCTCTTTGCCTGCATCGTTTTGCTCCGGATCCTTGTAACCCTAAGCCCTAAACCTAAACCCCAAACCCGGATCTCGGGTTGAGGATGTAGGAAAACACGAGAAATCCAAGCCCTCGACAAACCCCAGGCTCTGATCCCTACAGGGACATCGCTTAAGGTGGCTTCTGCTTCAAGGGATTCAACATAGGGGCCTTAGTAATTAGAATAGGGTTTCGGGCCCCGTGATACTGTACTTGTAGTAAGGAAGCACCAAAATAGTATAGGTAATTATTGAGGCCCCTACATCACTTTTGGAAGGACTACATCGAAGGCCTTGTTTATGTTCGTAAGAAGGACAAGCCATGACAAGACCGAACCCTAGAGCCCTAGACTAGACCCCAAATGCCGAAACACTGCAGCCGGTAAAGCCCTACCTGGACGTCAAATAACATGTTTTTGTGGCTCCTCCTTGTGATTTCCGTGTTTAGGCCCTGAACAAGGTAGGTGTTGGTTTTCGTGGTTCAGGTACAAACCGCATCGAAGCCCTTAGATTGTCTTCAATTCCCTAGTAGTAGAGTAGGGAACCTTTAACCTTCTTTGGGTAGTAGAGTCCCTCATATATATATATATATATATATATAATCCCTACATAACCAAAAAGGTTAACCTTTAGTTCCCCATGATTCCCTCCCAGCACTCGAATCTTAGGCCTCCGGTTCGGCGTGGTGTCGTCCAGGCCCTTCCTAGGGCTTAGAGGCTTACTTGGAGGTTCATGGGTAGTTCTAAGTGGGGTTTAGGGTTCGGGTTTGGGGTTTAGGGTCCACTTGGAGGTTCATGGGTAGTTATATGTGGTGTTATAATACGGTTATAGGTCCTCTAATATGGGTTATAATTACAGTTACCCTACTGATATCCCCACTTATAACTACCCATGA